CAGGGGAGGGGGAGGATGCTAGGATTGGTGAGTTGTCTCTCTTCTATCCTGGATTGGTCCTGACACGTAGTGTCGAAAGCCCACCTACTAATAAATGATCTAAATTGTTCCGAAAACCATTTTAAAAAGAAAGAAAAACGAAGTGCAACGTGCAAGAGAAAACGTTTCCATCGGCTAGTTCCGTTTGCACTAATAAAACACTGCCGCAGTAGGTTTGCAGGTTTGCCAGTAACGCCGCTCCCCTACAGCCAATCAGAACTGGCCTCTCTTGTCACATGACTGAGTCAGCGAGCGCGGATGAAGCAAAACACGGCGCTGTGGACTGGCGTAGGCTTGTCTTGTTGCCAGGCATTGGCCAAGTCACACACGGCTCTCCATGAGAGAGGAAACAGAGTGACAAGAGAGAGAGACAGACAGAGAGACGGAGCGCGCTAGTCACACAAACGTCACGTCACGTGAGATTTACCAAAAGACGGAACTTCCAAACAAACAAAAATGTGCATACCTCGCACGTTAAAATTTTCTGGGGGAAATCTGTCTTCATAAACTCTTGTGGAACATTGTGACACTCCCTGGACTTTGTGAGGCTCCAGTGAGGATTTTTTTCTTTCTGCGCAGGGTAGGCTACTTTCGAGAAAACCCGAGCATAAATTGACATATGATTACATGTATTACACACGGAAACAAACGTCCGTATTTGACTCACGACCGTGTTTTTCCACATTTCTTTAACGGATTGACAGACCAGATCTTTTGTGAGTTCTGAGATACTATCAAAGGTAAGTCTGCGGGCACTTTAGCGAACATCATATAGTTTCGGCTTTGCGTTTTCTGGTATATTTATCCGGAGGGGTGTACCAACACCTAGGCTACCCTCAGCCTTTCATTATAGACAGACGATGTCTAGTTTCCACCATTTTGTCCTACATTCATAATAAGAAGGAATGATGTGGAATTTGCTAGCCTAGGAAATAGAATCCCAAGTATTAAAACACATAATATACCTAGAATCTAACTCGTCGGATGTACTAGGTAATTTTTGGTAATAGTGGCATCTGTCTGTCTGTCGGTCTGTCTACTTCTCTCTCTCTCTCTCTCTCTCTCTCTCTCTCTCTCTCTCTC